CGCCCGCTGTCGACGGTACTTCGCGATATGCCCCGGCTGCCCACACATGTAGCAATTCCCCTTAAACCCTCCTTTCCCCCCCTTGGACTGGCCATCCTTAGCCCTTTTCTACTTCTCCCCTCCCTCACCGAACCCACCCCCATGCTTAGGCTGCTGCTGCTATGCCATAATGGGAGGGGAAGGGGATGAAGTCTGCTGGAATTGGGGCTTACCCTTCTTGGTAAACACTTGGTTAGCCTGGGGAAGAAATTGGTCCTTCCGTCCCTCCGTCGCCAGCGTACACTTCTCCTTGATGATGTAGCTAGCGAGGGTGTCCTCGTCCAGCTCCTTGCGCACCTGCGACAGTTTTAGCATCCTGTGTAAGATGTTATACTGCTACGGCAACCCCTTCACGACGTGAGTAATGTACGACGCTTGTGAGTAATCTACGCCGGCCATCCTCAGGTTCACTAGGATCTGCTACGCACGGTTGCAATAGGACGAGGTGGACTCGTGCTCTCCCATCTCGAGTTTGCCTGCTCTAGCCGACCTATGTACAGGTTGTCCTTCGGTGTGAAGGAATAAGATGGAGAGCGTAGCGATAGCGAGAGATTTTCTGCTATGAGAATGGTGTTGCGGTAGCAACTCGGTAGCGTTTTGGTAGCGTTTGCTTCTAAGGACTTAGTGAGAATTGAAGTAGCATTTGGGCCAAGTAGAATTGTAATATCTTGATGCATTACAAAAGAAAAAACACTAGATATAGGCATACGAGAGTTCACAAAAGGTTGTGTGGCGCTTCGGTGTAACCCAACCCCACAAAAGTGGTACGCGGGTGGATGAACGCGTGTCGCCAACTTCCCAACCCAACTCGGCATCGACTTCTCGCTTCCGTGCACACCACTCCACCAACACAGCAAGGATTGGTGTGACTCCCAAGGAAGCACCAATGACTCCCGCAGACTCGTGCTTCTTCATGCGGATTCCTGCGCAGCTGCACATAGTCACACGTAGTCACACCCGACCACCACCGAACTCATACGTCGGTGCCGAGTAGACTAGGTCGCCAGGCGCCGACGTGCCAAATCAAACATATCGTGAGGGCCCTTGTTGTCGTAGGGCCCTCTAACAATGTGAACCTAAGTTGGCTACTCTGAAAGTATCTTTGTGGGGTCGTCCATGCTAACAACACCATGCGGAGAGCCACTACACAACGGGAGTGGACTACAGAGAAAGGCACGGGGTTGGGCGGGTGATCGTAGCGTTGCACTAGGCGTTCTCACTACTTGCTATGTTCACAAGGAAATTTGACAAGAGTTTCATTAAGAAATTGATAAAACATTAGACTACAATGAGGCATGCAAGTCGATATAGCTAGACTGGCATTGCAACACATAGCAAGCCCTCTACAGGGCGAACTATGCCAGCGCAGCAGAAGAGGGGCTTGCCAACGCTGCAGCAGAGTCGTCTGCCAGCATTGCACCGCAGCGGTCTGCCAGCGCTGCAGAGGCAGGTGAACTTCTGCGCATATGCGCACCTACCAAGTAGGTGCAGGTAGACGGTCGCGCCGCCAGGCACATTGCGCAGGTGCCAGGTAGAACACGTGTCGACGGTTTTGCCATCAAGACACTTCCCTACCTAACTTAATGCCTGGGCACCGCCACACACAAGGTCCAACCAGAATCGTAATACAGTACAAGGGGTTACTTCGTCGGCGTGTACAACTCCGCACGCCGTTGATCATACCAGCCATGTTGCAGGACATGGCTCCTACTTCTTTACGTCGTCGTCATCGGACGATAATGGAGCACCATTTGAAAGCCGGGAATTGCACTGTATTGGTCAGGATGTCGACCGGCTGCTCAGTGCTTGGGTTGTACAATCTTCTTGCGCTTCACCATCTGGTGCAGCTAGACGAAGCGCCACTCCATGTGCTTGAGGTTGCAATTAAGACCCAGACCTTCAGCGATCGCGATCGATGACTGGCTTTCCACGTTCAGGACGATCGGCGCCCCGGCGTCGAGAACCTGAATCTCGGTGAGGAAGAAGCAAAGTTCGCTTGCTTTGCCTGCTTCGGTTTCAGCGAAGTACTCCGAATCAGTGGATGACAGCGTCACGCATTTGATGTGTTGGCTCGTCCACGAAACAATTGGGCCGCCGAAGACGAACACATAACCGTTCGTGTCATTATGCATCTACTTATTGCCGTCGTCGTTGACGATGTTTTCTTGGCTAGGATGGGAAGAGGTAGGCTTAAAGGGTGGGCCCGGGCCATGCGACTGCCACTACTTGTGTGTTTTTGCTACGTACTTTATTTTCTTCTCTGAAGATAAGCGGTAATAGGGAAGCCACAACAACCAGTTTGATGGAGTAGGAAGGATCGGATGTGTCAGAAGTGAGAGGAGCGTTTCGGGAATAGCTGAAAGGGGCATGTGGGAAAGAGGGGAAGGATTCTCGCAGAGCGCGAAGGCATGCAGAGTGACTCTGCCAACAGCATGTCATAGACGTAGAGCAGGCTCTGGTTGCTGAGACATTGTTCAGGGACTTGACGTTTGCATAGTATGGTGTAGTAACAAGACAAACAGGGCATCAAACTGGGATTGGAAAGAAAGGAGCAGCAACAAGTGGGGGGTTGAGGTAAGCCAGCAGTGGTAGACTGATGAAATGAGGAATGTAAAACATAGTTGGCGTTTGCAATGAATGTATGAGGGAGCATGTGACAAAGATTCAGAAGGAAGAGACATCAGTGATAAAATGGAAAAATTGGGAAGAAACGGAACCAAATCAGTGGTTCATGTGTACTCCAATCCGACAACCAAATGATTTGGTTTGAATGCGGGTTTTGAATGCTGGAAGTGAGGGGAGGGGATGATTATGTAAGCAAGGTTGAAAGTGAAAGATATGCAACAGTGAGGGGGGAGGGAAGAAAAGAATCGTTGTAATGGAGAAAGTGAGCAGCAATGGAGGGCAAGGAATGATTAATGGGGAGGGAATTTGAGGGTGCCAGATAATAACCAGCCTCGGTTGGAGTGGGGAGGGCAATAGGGTGCCGAATAATGACCTGCATCTGGTGGAATGGCGAGGGCGATGGATGGTGGTAGAGAACGAGCAGATTGAGGTGAGCATGCTGTGTTCCCAAGTGCATATCAGCCAGGCCTAGCCTACGGGAGCTCCCCATCAGGCTCCATGAAGGTGAAGCAGAGGGACAGCGCCGTGTGTGGTACTCTTAGAGGGGATTTTTCGCGTGGACCCCGAGATTGGAATTTACAAGAATCCCCGCCGCCTGCCCTCTATTTAATGCTACCAGCTACCCACCAGTGGAGCAGTTTTGCCGATTGAAATGTTGACGGGTCAGCGTTGAAGAGTTGTCATGAGGCTATATCTGCCATTAGTTTCAAAGTGGTTGGCAATCCAGGACAACGGATGCTGTAGGTCTTTACAGGAAGGGGGATGAAACCTTGCATCATGCATGGAAGGGTTGGAGTCAATAATTTGTAATCATTGACTGAAAATGAATGGTTTGGAGATGAGGAGTTCAGTTTCGAGGCACTACGACCTAAAAAGAATTAGGATATCCACGCAACCAACTTTAACAATGGCATAAATTCGTCCAATAAGTAAACATGATGCATGTATGGGGCGATGCCCATTTGTGATACCAAAACACAGTGTATAGGGTGTGTTTGCATAAAGCTATTACCATAGGCGCTCACACATGTTCTTGCAATGCATGAAATACAAACCAAACACATTAAAAAGGCTAATATAGCCTCAGAGCAGGGTAAACAGGCAGGTCCAGCGAAGACTGTGGAACAGATTCAAGACTTGGCAACTTAGAGGCGAAATTAGAATCTCTGAAATGGCAGCTGTTGGTCTGTCATTTCGTAGCATGCAAATGACATTCAATCTGTTCCTATTACTCATACACATATAATAGACAGTTGTACCGACTCATATGGACAGGGTGCAACGTAGGATCACCAAATTATGGCCCATGTTCCAATGAAAGAACCCTTGAATGCATTAGTCAAGCAAAAATAGTTAAGCAAAAATATCTGAAGATCCAATCCCTACTGAAATTAAAACACTGGACTAGGGAACGCAAAGAAACTCCAGACCTACAGTTCCCGAGCATTTCTTTTCATTGTATTCATTGAAACTTGTGACCACTCCTGGCTTGGCTCCACCATAGAAGCTTAAAGCTCCCCTACATGTCTGAGATGGTGACACTAGCTTGAGCCTGCCCTTCTTGCAGCTGCGAGAACTCAAGGACTCGTAGTCTGCCTTGAGGCAAACCTGGGATAGACATTTCATACACGGAGTGGACAAAGGAACAAAAGTATTGAACAAATAAACAAAACCAAAATAAGAGCAACATGCAAAAAATCCTTTTGACAGCTCAGCACCGAACTAAACCTAAGTTCATTTTTTTTTTTAATATTGTCTGATACTTGGGTGTAATTCGGTGCAGTTCAGCATACAGCGATACACTCGATTTGGACGCGTACTTTTGTGACGCGTCAAATGGCTGGATCAGGATTACTATCAGCAAACTTTTAGAAGCATGCAAATAATAGACAACTGTACCGACTTATATGGACAAGGTGCAATGTAGGATGACATACAGCCCGCCATCTTCCAACAAAAGCACCCTTGAATACATTAGTCAAGAAAAAATACATGCAGATCAAACCCCTACTAAAATACAAAACACTGGACTAGGGAACGCAAAGAAAATCCAGACCTACAGTTCGCGAGCATGTCTTTCCATTGTAATAACTGAAACTTGTGACTGCTCCTAGATTAGCTCCACTGTAAAAGCTTAAAGCTCCCCCACATGTCAGTGATGGTGACACTTGCGTGAAACTGCCCTTCTTGCAGCTGTGTGCACTCAAGGACTCGTAGTCTGCCTTGAGGCAAACCTGGGATAGACGTTTCATACATAGTGTGGACACAAGAACAAAATAACAAAAATATAAAAAAGGCAACATGCAATTACACTTCTCTCGTTCTCCAAACCTCACCTGCACGCTGTTCACACTGGCAACAGTGGCGCTGGACGCAGGAGTGGTGCGGGGACAGATGAGGCCGGGATTGTTGCGGTAGAGGTCAACCCAGCTCTCTGCAGTCACTGCTACCGGCCCCTCAGGTTCCTCCTCACCAGACTCCAAACCCTTCTGCAGCAGGCCCTCACACGTGTCCTGTGCTGTGAGCATGCCGTACTGCAAGCACTTAGGGTTGGTGAAGGCGAAGGTGGCGTTGCGCTCGAGGCACAGAGAGTGGCCTGCCTTGATGGGCTTGGAGCAGTCGAGGCTGGGATTCAGAATTATAAGGTCAGTCGACGCGAATCCAAGATGGGTGCTGATAGACGAACAGTTGTCACCCTGGAGGAGAGTGTGAGGAGAGAGAAAGCAGAGGTGGTCTTGTTGTAGGAAAATGGTGCACTGAGAAAACAGCTTGCAAGAAAGAAAGGGATGCTGCTCACTGCTTGTCGGCTATTTGTTGGGGGAAGGAGAAGGGTGGTTGAATGGTGTTTTTTCTCATACATACTCCAACAGAAACGTTGCCCTAAGAGAAAAGAACAAACATTTGCTTTGTGTATTATGTACAGAAACACCGACTCACATTGAGGGTTTAGAAGAAGGCAGTGCAGGGGGTGGTGGAAGTGCTGCCCAACTGAATCACCTTGCCTTGAGCCAACGGTTGGCTGCAGTCCACGTCCTGAAATACATAGGAGGGATTCTTTGTTGGATGTAAATGTCTGGTACAATCTTATGGCACATCCTAAATACGTGCATATGCTGGGACTGGCTGGGGTTGTGCCAAACATGTGAGAACGTTGGGCCACGGCCTGAGAAACAAGGACAGGCCAATTGTGCCCCGACCAACAAGGACAGGTCAGTTGTAGCCACCCTATTTGTGACTCAGACAGGGCCTGAGGACAACTCAGAGGCAGCTAACATCCATATTGGATGGCTAGGATAAAAGGCAGGTAGAGAGACCTAAACGATGGGAAGGAAAGGGAATGGACCACGGGGCTTGGCCTGGGGTTGGCCCACCATTGTCAGATAAGTTGGCCCAGCCCATTATAAACCAGGGACGGATCCTGGCCTGGCCTGGCCTGGCCCACATTTGTTCAACCTCCTATTACCATAAATATGGTCCTGAAGAGTGAAAACTAGTTATTGGATGGCATGCCCATTGGAGAAGAGATTTGTTGGTGGAAATATACTTTTCATCTAGAAGATAGTACCTCTTTGAATACATACTTTGTATTATTCCCAAGAGAGCTGGAAAATTTCGTCAACAAAAGTCCACATATTGGGATGAAACCATAAGCACTCTCACCACGGTTTGCTTTGGCAAGCTAGCCAAGGAAAGACCGGTCACAGGAAAGACGTCGGAGCACCACCAGTTTGCACCAGTGACCGTCAAAGTAGTTGCTGTGGTGTTGGCTGGACGGACAAAAGAAGGAGACACGCACAGAGCAGATGGTGCCAAGAGAGTGCACATGAGGTTATCTGAAGCTTGGTGATGCTACAATGAAAGAATGTCAACATGCACAATCAGTTCGAATAGTCCAGCTTGCTGGAATAGGAACCAACCCATCATACTCTATCAAATGCATGAATCAGTCAAAAGGGTTACATGAGTGAGTGAGGCCGGATTGGTAGTACCAGGATCACAGGTGGAGGAGTTGTCAACGGTCGTGCTCTCAATGTAGTTAAGAGGGCAGATGCATGAGTAGGCGCCCTTGCCATCATTCACGCATGTGCCCACAATGCAGGGGTTCATAGCATAAGAACCGCACACGTCAACTGCTGGGTTGATGACGGAGGGGGAATAAGGGTGGTGAAAGATGCGATAAAGGGATGCCGACGGAAAAGGTGGACTTGCAGAAACATGCCATGGTTGTATCTGCATCTACAAAAACTCCACATAATTTCTTTCAAAAGACTTGTTTGGCCGTCAGCATGACTCACCATATGCACATGTGTGGGAGCCCAATCCGTTTGCCGCCTCAACGAAGGGCTGCATGGCTTGGGGTTGATTTTGAGAATTCTCAAAATCAACCTCAAACAAAATGGGCTGCATGGCCTGGTTAGGTATGGTGCAGTCGCAGGTGTTGCTCTTGGTCTTTGCGTTTGGCTAATGTGAAGCGACCGCACGGGTTCATGCTTGGCTGCAGGTCCCCAACGCCCTTGTAGCTCTTTTGACCGCAAAGATCCTTGGGAACTGCAGAGAATGTGGAGAGGACACGCAAGTAGTATGGCAAATGTGAAATTCCCTGAGAAGTGTAAATGTGCCTCGAACTTTGTAACCAAGCAAAATTATGTATCCTTGTTTGACGAAGGGTGTAGGCTTCACTCTGAACAACAACTAGTTCCCTCACTCATGACAATGGGGTAGACGCCTCACTCTTGACAATGGGGTAGATGCCAGGCAGCACGTTGATGCCACACATGCCATCCCCTCCCTGAATGTCCATGCGCATGTGGCCCCTGTCGCCCCACTCCACTCCCCATGAGTTGCGGATGATCCAAAACGGTGGAACACTGAGGCTATCACAGCCATCATTTGTTGAAATGAGGTACCCAACAACGAGTACAGCATGGCTCAGGTTGCCAGTGTAGCAGTCTGGATCTTGGTACTTCATGCTCTGGGCAAGAAGGGATAAGGATAAAAAAATACGTTATGAATTCAGCAACATGCATGATGCATTAGGCCACAAGCATCAGATTCATACGGTAAGAACTCTCAGATTCATCCATGAGAATCAGAACTCTCATAGGTCATACATGTTCGTGAGCAGATAACACCTCCATAAGACATCCATGCCTCCAATGAATGGCTATAAGGATTTTCCAACCACATGATCACACACATCACATAATAACGTGACCTGTACTCACCCCATCATATTGTACGAATGTAGAGGCAGAGGCTTCGATGTGAACCACCACTGGCTGCCGCCGCACTGCCAGCATGAGCCCCACATACCCCTTGAACCGTGTGCGCTCAACACCCCGAATGGGGAACTTTGATATCTGCAGGTCAGAGCACAGAGATAGTTGGGAGAATAATATAGTGATGAAATCAATATAAGAGATTGGATACGACCAATAGTAGACACGACGATTCAGAAGATAAAAGACAAGAATCTAAAAAATTGAAGAGATGCAAGATCGCGTAACTTTTCCCGAAGATTGTGAATGTGTTGCATTGGTTCTCCGAACAAATCTGTTTCTTACCGGCTTGCTGGCTGTTGTGAGTCCACCACACAGCAGAGTGAGGAGCTTTTCAAAGGCCGCAGCAGGGGAGTTCCCTGTGGTGCACTTGGCAGCAGGGGAGGTGAGCCCCATGGCTGCAAAGAACGAGTCCACTGACAGCCGTGGAGCCTCCTGGTTCAGTGCAATGCCGTATACCGCCTCCACACTCGCCACCACCGCATATGCCCAACTCGCATCTGTAAAAAGGTAGTGTTTTGAAGGATGTGAATGGGCAAGGCCTCATTGCAATTCTAAGGTGCATAGATCAATAAAGATGAAACAGCCAGGGGCACCAACATGCCTTCCTCCTTTAGAAGGAGACCACAAAAACAAGAAACAGGAACTTACTTTAAAATCACAACACACCACAACCTCTGAGTGTGGAAAAGGCTAGATTCCCTTCTACAGGCTATTCATTCTAACCATGCCCACTCACTGCAGTCCTTTTGGTTCTTGACAGGCCAGCCGAGGAAGAACATGGAGTCCCAGGAGTGGGAGCTGCTGACGTGCCATTCACTGGGCTGGTTGGGCAACGCTTGGTAGTCCGCACTCATGTAGCGCATGAAGGGACTGGCTCCCACTGGCGCATATGAGGCTGCAGAGATACTCAGGCCTAAGGCTGAGATGGTCAAGAAGGGTTTGGGGCAGAGAAAGTAGTTGAAATGGGGGAGGATGTGGTTGTATGCACATGTGTCGGGTTTGTATCAGAGCAATATAGGAGTGTGATAATGATTTGCACCGTGCAAGAACCAGGGTTACTGTCAGAGCAGAATAGGTGAAGGGGATAGAAAACATCACGAGTGTAATAATTCTTTGATGCAAGATAATAGAGGGTTGTTTACCAGGAATGACGCCCACTGCATTGTGTACAGCAGGAAGACCTGCAGAAGGAGGCACACATGAACAAAACCACACAGTTGTCATTATTGTTTCAGAGCATGGTGAGATAAGACGCATTCAATGGGTTGACCAAATTCATAAAATCATTTGTGGTACTGTATGTCACACAACCTAACACCACGAGCTAGCCAAAGGTTTAGCTGAAACAAAAGATTTAAGCTCCTAGTGAAATAGCAGCAATGCATGTGATGATCTCAACCAGCATCAAATCCACCACCACCGCCACCACCAGCGCCAGCGCCAGCGGCAGCGGCAGAAGCAGCAGCAGCAGCACCACCACCAGCACCACCAGCACCACCACCACAACCACCATCACTACCATGTTCGGCACCATCACTTCCACCACCACCACCACCATCATCACCCCCACGATCACGATTGGACCAACACAGGGCTGTGCTTACCTGTGTGCAACACCGACTTGAGGATAACTTGCTTCTGTAATGGCTTCGAAGTGGCTGCCACAAAGCCAATTAAGAACGCCTGCTGATCCACTCCAGCCTGCAGCACCTCACACAGCGCCACCCTCCTCTCAAGCAGCGGCTCCACTGGCTTCACCTCCAAAGCAGCCAGGAACACCTGGATGGTGCCGGGCTCCCCAGGCTCATAGTCCACCCATGCCGTGTACGGCTTCTTGTTGTTCAGAGGAAATGGCGACTTCACAGCAGCTAGCGACCTGTTTTGTCCGTGAATGTTCAACCCCACGTGCTGGCGGCGCATGTCCCCCTGCCGCTTGTCCTGCAGAGTGTCAAATTCAACCGCTATGCTCTGGCTGTCCATTCCACTATACCCCACACCGGATCCGCTCCCACCTTGGTCCGTTGACGAGATGACAAAGGCGAAGCTTCCGCTGCCCTTGCGGTCCGATCGGGGCGAGAGCATGAAGGTGAAGTTGGCCTGGAAGGCCAGTTGCACTCCACACCCAGACGTGGCCTGCCCTGCCTCGTACACAAACAGAGTCACCGGAGCTGCGGTGAACTTCTTTCCCGTCTCCTTCACTGTCCCCTTGGTGAGCATGGTGTTGGAGGTTGCGTGAGGCACGTTTTGCCCCCAACCACCGAACGGTTCTTCTCAAGTGTTCCAAAGAGATTGACTTCGCTGCAGGTTTTGCGAAGGAGCTGGTTGACTTCGGAGGACTTGCACAGGAACATTCGAGACTCAAGGAGAATTCGATTCGGTGAAATTCGAGTGTCGAATTTCACCCCTTCGAAATGTTACTCGAACATTCGCGAGTGTACCGCGGTTCAAGGTTACTTGTGCGGTTCGATGTTGATAGCATGCTATAAAACTAGTTGCTTTGTATTGCATGTGATATACTGAAAACCAGAGTTCTTTGTAAGTGGTACATTCGAACCAGAAATTCCAGAGAGCTTCTATACTTGTATTCAAGAACACCACCCAACACGTGAACGCCTATATCTCGGCGGATACTTAGGCGATCGACGTGTGTGACAGCTCGTTGGAAAGCTAAGACAGAGCTATATCGTTTAGTGCCTGCAAAGTAGAGGAGAGTCCTTTACTACAGTGGTATCAGAGCCGGTCGGAGGAGTCTACGCGCGCGACAAGGAGCAAGCATGCCGACTTCAAGCGAGGCCTCTCGCACTTCCTTGGATGGTGTCGTTGTAAATTTCGGCGAACCCTGGGCAACCGCGATGATGTTCGACACGTCGGCAGTATCGATTTTCACGGGACAAAACTACTCCGCGTGGAAGTTTAAGTTCCAAGTGTTCATGATGGAGCGGGGACTTTGGGGTTTTTTCGATGGAACGGAGAAGAAGCCAGACGACGAGAGCGGCATCGCGGCATGGAAGAAGAAGGACCAAAAGGCGTTCGCTACGTTGATTTCGCGCATAGGCATCAATCTCGTGAGCTCGGTGCGCATGTGCATCAAGCTCGAAGAGTCAGCGCATGAAGCGTGGAAGCGGCTCGAGACGATCCACATGAACAAGACTCTCCACGGCAAGATCCTAGCCCGGAATGCATTCTACACGGTGAAGATGCGCGCGGACGAATCGATGCACGAGTATGCGACTCGTGTGGAGGAACTCGGGAAAACGTTCATGGACCTCGGTGGAACGGTCACGGAGGAGGATTGGATTTTGACCTTGCTTTGCGGCCTTCCGGAAGAGTGGTCGACGGTGATTACGACACTCGATAGCGTGCAAGACACTTGGACGAAGGAAATGGTGGTCGGTCGGCTTCTCCATGAAGAATCGCGTCGCCGACAATTCGCTAATGAGAGCGAGGGTGCCGCCATGTTCTTCGGAGGGAGTTTCGGAAAGAAGTCCACGCGGAACAAATGTGCGACAAAGAAGTCGTCCGGTGGAAGCGATCGCGGCAAGGGAAACACATCAAACGGCGTGAGCAAGTGCCACTATTGCGGCAAAACGGGACACTTTTGGCGTGAGTGTCGGAAGCGGCCGAGCGATTGGACTCCATCGAAGGCATGAAACCACGAGGGCAACGCGCACACGGCATCCGGCGAGGCGGATGATACAAGGGAGTCGATCGTGTTATTGGCCGGTGACGGGAACAACACACCAAGCGACGCGTGGTTCCTCGACGCCAGCGCAACACAACACATGACGCACTCGGCATCGTTCCTCACCAACGTTGGTGCACCGGGAGACGTCACGCGCGTCGTCTTCGGAAACAACAAGTCACTACCGGTGGTCGGAGTTGGGAGTACGCGTCTCATCGTCGATGGCGGACCGGTGGACATCACAAACGTGCTTCACGTCCCGGGGTTGAAGGTGAATCTACTCTCCGTCACTCAACTCGCGAAGAAGGACGTGAAGGTCATCATCGATGGCGCGACGATGAACCTCTTTTGAAAAGGGAAGCAATTCACACAAGGCGTTCTCAACGGAGAAATCTACCAACTCAAGACGCACCCAAGAGCGGCTTCATCCAACGTGGCGCAAGGCTCCAAGGCGACTCTCAAGGCGTGGCATAATCGGCTTGCGCACGCCAACTACGAGTCGGTCAAGGAGTTGGTCAACAAAGGACTTGCGAAGGGAGTCGACGTGATCGCCGGCGACGACGAGAAGGGCGTGTGCACGGCGTGTGTCGAAGGAAAAATGGCTCGCAAGCCATTTGGTAGCCGAACGTCACCCCTCGCTAAGGACCCGCTTGCGCTTGTTCACATGGACGTGTGTGGACCGATGCGACATGCATCAAAGGGAGGAGCGCGATTCCTCTTGGTGATGCTCGACGACGCGACGCGGATGTGTTGGACCCGGCTCTTGAAGGCTAAGGGAGATGCGGCCAAGGCGATTCAAGAGTGGGCGCTCGAAGTTTGCGACAACGACAAGAAGCGGATCAAGGTTATTCGTACCGATGGTGGTGGCCAATTCTTGAACAACGAGCTTGCGAAATGGATGAAGAGCAAGGGCATCAAGCATGATGTCACAACACCCTACACACCCCAACAAAATGGAGCGGCGGAGCGGCTTAATCGCACGTTGGTGGAAGCCGTTCGTTCTCTTCTTCAACACTCCAAGCTTGGAAGCGAGTGGTGGGGTGAGGCGAGTTTGTTAGCGGCGTGGATTCGCAACCGTTTGCCGACAAAGGTGCTCCCGGGAACGACTCCGTTCGAAACATGGACTGGAACGAAGCCAAACCTATCCCGCCTTTGGGTGCCTTTGCTACTACCATGTACCGGATCCCCTTCGCCACAAGTTGCAACCGAAGGCTCGTGCGGCAATCTACTTGAGAATTGCGGCGAACGAGCGTGCGTGGCGAGTGTGGGACTTGGGCGACAAGCACGTCGTCACGTCTCGGGATGTGGTCTTCGACGAAGACAAGTTCCCGACGAAGGAACAACCAACGCCGAAACTCACGTCGTCCTTCCCGCACGAGAGGAGGATGAAGCGGTGGAGGTTCCATCACAAGAGGAAAAGGAAGCTGAAAATGGAGGGGGAGAGAACGAGGAGAGCGACGACGACGTGGTGGAGGTGCCACCAACCGAGGCGGCAACTTCCTCCACACCTACCTCCCTCCCATTGGCGTTGAACCGCGAGCAACGTACACGTCGCCCCAACACGAAGTACAACGACTACGCTATGGTAGCCATTGGGAGTTGGACGAGGAGCGTGCGGCATATTGCTTCGCAACCTTGGGTGATGACCCTCGCACCCATACCGAGGCTTTGGCTTCTCCGGATGCGCCACTATGGAAACAAACGATAGAGAAGGAACTAGCATCGATCAAAGAGAACGACGTGTTCGAGCTCGTCGACCCGCCGAAGGATGCCTACTCGTTGGGGTGCAAATGGGTACTTAAGAAGAAGCTGGGAGCCGATGGGAGTGTCGAACGCTACAAGGCGCGGCTTGTAGCTCAAGGCTACACTCAACGGGAGGGGGAGCACTATAGCGAGACCTTCGCTCCAGTCGCGAAGGCTACAACTCTTCGGGTGTTGCTCGCGCTAGTGGCATCTCTCAACCTCGAGGTGGAGCAATTGGACGTTTGCACCGCCTTCCTCTACGGGCTTCGTATGGAAGAAGTCTACATGCAGCAACCCCCGGGGTACGATGACGGTAGCGGAAGGGTGTGGAAGCTCAAGCGTACCCTCTACAGCTTGAAGCAAAGTCCACGCGGATGGTACAAGCGCATCGACGACTTTCTTCTTCAACACGGCTTCGCGCGTAGCGAGTGCGATAGCGCTTTATACGTGTTGAAGGAGGGGGAGAAACAATTGGTGCTTTTGCTCTACGTCGATGACTTACTCTTCTTCTCCGACTCCAAAGACCTCATTCGGGAGGTCAAGCAACGGCTAGGGGCGGAGTTTGCAATGAGGGACTTGGGGCCGGTCACGTACTACCTCGGGATGCATGTCGACCGTAACCGAGCCAACGGGACCATCCACCTCCACCAAGAGAAATATGTGAAGGGTGGAGAGCTTCGGCATGGGCAATAGCAAACTGGTGGGAACACCACTAGCTACGGGTTTTTCTTGCCTCACGGGAGAGGAAGAATCCGCCCTCGACGAAGCCGAAGGGAAGCAGTTTCATTCGCTAGTGGGCTCGCTCATGTATGCCGCCGTTTCTACTCCTCCCGACCTCGCATACGCCGCCGGGGTGCTTGGACAAGTCGTGAGCAACCCTCATGCCGAGCATGTGCGCGCGGGAGGACGCGTTCTATGCGTTCTAACTTGGGGCTCGTGTATGAAGCCGGCCCGATTGAACTCAAGGGCTATACTGACTCGGACTACGCCGGAGATCCGAGCACGCGCAAGAGTACCTCCGGGTACGTCTTCACCTTGCTTGGGGCAGCCATGAGTTGGCAAAGCAAGAAGCAACCCACCGTCGCTCTAAGCTCAACGGAAGCGGAGTATATGGCGCTCACGCAAGGAGCCATGGAGGCGACATGGCTAAGGCGTCTTCTAGCGGAGCTTGGGCATCCTCAACCCAACCCAACTTCTCTCTTTTGTGACAACCAAGCCGCCATAAGCCTCTCTCACAACGCTGTCCTTCAAGGGCGAACCAAGCATATCGAGGTGAAGCATCACTTCATTCGTGAGGCGGTTGAGAAGGGTGAGGTCAAACTCACTTACGTAAGCACCAAAGCTCAACCGGCGGACTTCCTCACTAAACCACTTCCTAAGGACTCATTCCATGCATGCTGTGAGCGTGTTGGATTGAACACCTAGTGGCTTGGGTGCAAGGGGGAGTGTTGGAGGTTGCGTGAGGTGTTGGAGGTTGCGTGAGGCACGTTTTGCCCCCAACCACCGAACGGTGCTTCTCAAGTGTTCCAAGGAGATTGACTTCGCTGCAGGTTCCGCGAAGGAGCTGGTTGACTTCGGAGGACTTGCACAGGAACATTCGAGACTCAAGGAGAATTCGATTCGGTGAAATTCGAGTGTCGAATTTCACCCCTTCGAAATGTTACTCGAACATTCGCGAGTGTACCGCGGTTCAAGGTTACTTGTGCGGTTCGATGTTGATAGCATGCTATATGACTAGTTGCTTTGTATTGCATGTGATATATTGAAAACCAGAGTTCTTTGTACGTGGTACATTCGAACCAGAAATTCCAGAGAGCTTCTATACTTGCATTCAAGAGCACCACCCAACACGTGAACGTCTATATCTCGGCGGGAACTTAGGCGATCGACGTGTGTGACGGCTCGTTGGAAATCTAAGACAGAGCTCTATCGTTTAGTGCAAATCCCAGTTCCTGCAAAGTAGAGGAGAGTCTTTTACTACACATGGTTGTTGGCGGAGCGATAGGCTGGCTGACTGAATGGATTCCAATGATCCCTGAACCCATGCAAGGCAGTCAATGTAAACACTTATGGGAGGGTGAGGATGAAAGTGAAAAACACCAGTCACAAATTGAGGACTCTTAAAAGAGACGTCTGGACCATTGGGTGAAGCAAATGGTGGGGATGTTTAGATAGGATGGGAGAGTCCAATCGCTGTGCCTTGTGCTTGTGAAACCATACAGACAAACTCTAGTTAGGGTAGAAATTCAGGAAGCATGCAAATGTTGTAAGCCTCGTAATCTGCCTGCCCTGGTTCGATTATTTTTTAAACGAACTTACCTTCTGAGATGCAGCTGGTTCTTCCAGACTTGATGAACCTGCATCGCACGAACAGCTCGTAAACATGCTGACCCGGTCTGGAATGCAAACCCCTCTACCGCCACAAGCAGGAGTACCAGCAGCAGCAGCAGCACCAGCAGAGGATGATGCGAAGGATATGCCACAAAACGCATTGCATGCTGCTTCCTTTCGTTGCACCACCAGGGAGCAGTTAGAAGGCAGTGTGAAGCAGTTGGCATCGAAGTTGCGAGCCTGGCATGCCCCGTCCGGCAGTGGGCCAGCGAAGAAGTTGCTGGAGACACGCAGGCTGCTGATGGCGGGCAGCGTGATGGGGCCTGTGAGGTAGTTGCGGGAGAGGTCGCTGGGAGGGAAGGGCGAGGGTTGGGGAAGAGGGATGTAAATTGCGTGAGAAGGATTCGGAACTTCGGACGTTGAGGAGGATGAGGTGTATGTGAATTATGAATGAATATGGGCTCGATTGTGTTCATTCAGTGTCTTGCGTTGATTGTGTATTGCGTCTTTTCAATAACCAACGTTCCCAACAAAATGACTGGTGTCGATGCATAAAACCCTGAAATGCAACACTTGGATCCAGGTTCCACTTTGCAGGATCAATGTTAGAGAAGGTTTTAAGACCGTTAATGCAGGTAGCTGTGTTTTCCCTACACAACCGGCTCCCTCCTCCAGTTTTCTTGAAGGCCACAGCTTGCAAGTTGAGAGATCGATATATGTATATATAGTGGGTCCATGAAATATAACAATTCTAACCATAGAAGGTGCTGCGTGTGGCATTGTGGCTTACAGAAAGGTGAGGCTCGTGAGCTTGGTGAACGTGCTAGGGATGCGACCATACAGCTGGTTGGAAGCAAGTGACCTGGTGTGAATTGTGGTGAGAGCGCGCAGTATCAAGGTTGAAAAAAAATAGGATGGGAGTATGATAGTTGGGTAAGCTACTTTCATGAAGAGCAATGCAGTTTTGATAAGTACAGAGGAGAGCACATAGGCACGACTTCCTAGCCATGATTGTCACATGGAAGGAAGAGACGTATCCACGAGCAACAAGAGAGCTCACTGGGAGGGAAGCCATGCAGGCGTGTCTGTGCGTGGCATGTGACATACAGTGATGTTTGTGCATGGGGAAGAGGTGCGATGCTAGGAGCTGGATGGCATGTGTTGGCTTACAAGCAAGCCAGCTGTGTAAGGCCCCCCATGGCCACAGGAATTGTTCCAGTGAGAAGATTGCATTGAAGTTTACTGAAAGAAACCGGCAAAAGAAAGAAAAAATCATGAATATGAGAACGCATGGGCAGATTATTGTACAGGGAAGCAGCCGGCACGACAGTAAATGGAAGTGAGAAGTACACGGCAGATACAATGAAGGGAAATGCCCAGAAGATACTCTGGTGAGGAATACATAATAGATATACTGGAGAGGGCGCCGATGGGAGTTAGGGATGGTTCCGACGAGCTGGTTGTGAGACAAGGCTCTGATTAGAGAGGAGGGGATGAGAAGACGGGATATAGACTCTGGAAAGCGGTAACAACAGGTATGTCCTGAATTGGTTCGTGCTTTTCATGTCTTGGTGGTGGCTGGATACACGAATATTTGTGAGAGGAGCATGGTGGGAGAGAGAATTGTGGGGATTAATGACATAGGAGGGAAGAAGAGAAGATTCAGAAAGTGTGTGCATGAGAGGAAGGTGAGGGGCTTACAGGACTACAAGATATGTGAGTGAGCTTATGCCTGACGGGATAGAGCCGGTGAGCTGATTGTTTTCAAGAACCCTGGGTAAAAAAGGCGATTTTTGAGGGGAGATAGGGGGAGAGAAATTGAAAGAGGGGGTTTCAACAGCAGCTCTCAATGAGACAAGATTGTAATCTCCATATGTTGAATAAAAAACATTGTTGCAGGACCTGTAGATGCTAGTGCATACTAAGAGGAGGTGGGCTGGAAACATAGTGGGATGCAACAGTGTGCCTCGAAATACTCAAAAAGGAGGTACTTGTTACACTGAGAATTCTTAACCTCTGGACTGGAAACTTCTAAAAACTGCTTTCCCTGTATGAGCTTACAGGCTTGTGATTCCTGTAAGCTTTGTCAGAGAGGAGGGCACGGAACCCGACAGCTTGTTGGAATCAAGAGAACTGTTGACAGCAAGGAAATGTTTGAAGTGAGGGGAAGGGCAGGCGGGCGGGGGGGGTGGGTATGTGGGGGATCAGTAGGGAGACATGGGAAACCAAAGCTCATTACCAAGGTCTAATGGCAAAGAAAATGAGGCTTCTGTGTGATTTGAAGGCATTGCAACAGTTCACACAAAAGGTAAAATTCGGTTTGAGCAAGAAGGGTGTATATCACGTGGAAGAATGTACGACAATATGTGTTGTGATAGATGTATGTAACAGAAGGACAATAACCTTAAGAGATGGTGAAGAGAAAGGAAGCAATTCCAGAAAAAAAAGAGTGATGAGGGTGGAAGTGAACCAGGTCGCGTGAAGCAGTAAGTTGAACACACGCGACTAGCCAAAATCCCAAGTGAAAGAGGGGAAACACAACAGTGAATCCAAACTGTCTCGCAGATCCTTACAGGGCTAACAGTGTCTTGAGCGAGCCAAGCGCATCAGGGATCAGTCCGGTAAGCAGATTCTTCTGTAGCAATCTGAGAAGTTCGAGAGCCAGCGAAACATGTTGATACATGAGAACTTCACAACACACATGTGTGAAGATTGTAAAGTGAATCATTAGTTTGATTAGGGAAAGAAAGTGCATACATAGGATGCAAGAGGAGCTTGGAAGGGAAGGGGGAATGTTGGGTGGTTGGGTAGTCCCTATGGCAACTTGCAAGGAGGGGGCACCCAAATTGCAACAAGGACCATGTGGGTTGCAAGGAGGGGGGCACCCAACTTGTGGGTTGCAAAAAGGGGGTACCCAACTTGCACTTGGGGGCTCCAACACTTGTGGGTTGGATTGACACCCCAACTTGCAGGTCTACACCCCAAAGTTGGGTGTAGTCCTACAAAGCAAGCTACACCCAAAGTTGGGTGTAGCCTCAACCCCTTTTATACTTAGCATGCTATACACACATTTCTAACAACATGAGCATGGCTAACTATAGGACGTTGTGGCAGCAGAGGTGCAAGGATGGGATGCAAACCTGGCTAGGACTGGTAATGGGACTGGGACCGGGACTGGGACTGGGAAAAGGGTGGCTCAAGTGAAACGCTACCTCAGATATTCAAGGGGGAAGTAATGATAGCTCCAAAACGTTCGTCAACAGCAGTTCATCTTAGGGGTGATATCTCCAAACGTTTAACGTGTAACACGATGCATAATGGATGGATGCACACGATGAAATACTCACAGGATTTCCAGCTTATTGAGTCCACCCAAGGAAGCAGGGATAACGTCAGTAAGACTGTTGTCCGAAAGATCACTGGGAGAGAGTCGTGCAGGGAAGACAAAAAACAGTCACGGAGTGAGAGAAACGAAAAGAGGAGAACACAATTGAGGGGACAAAGCGTGCACCCTCCAAAAACCTAGTGTTGGTTGGGAAATAACATGCTAACCGAGGAGACTGGGTTTCAATTCTCTCGGTTGGCACCATCTCGGTTGTGTAGGACTGTTGCTCCTACGCCACTAAAGGAGGCACAGATGATGAAAGGGCTGCACGTTCGGTCGTTGGGCATATGAATGCACTGGCCCACAAAACCCAACATGCCCTTAGCCCAGATGGTTAACTAGCACACTCATGTTTCCAACATAGTGGTACCACCCAAAATGGGGGATTTGCTGTGTTGGCAAAAGGAGGAGGGCAAAGTGTAGCGTACAGTTTTTTTATACCGGTAAGGGAGCCAATGTAGGCAGGGATGGGCCCAGAGAGCTGGTTGTTATCGAGCGATCTGGTGGTTGCAGGATTTACCAAAAGCAGCATAAGATGGAACAGCCAGAACCAGGAGCACAATCGAATTTTCCTAGGCTAGGTACAATAACCAAAGTAGCTCGGAAAAGGTTTTTGTTCTGGTGAGCAATGTTAGGATGAGTAAGGGATGGCCACAAGGGAGGGATGCAATGTCTTACAGATCTGCCAATTTTGTGAGAGCGTCAATGCCTGCAGGTATGGGGCCAGTGAGCTGATTGTTTTTCAGCAGCCTGAGGGAAAATGGGAAAGGAAAAACCAAACTCCAAGGCTGCTGAAGGTCTGCGATGCATGCTGAAACGGCCCCAAAAGAGAGGAACGGTGCATTGGCATGAAACCCCTTCGGCCTGCCAATAGGGACCGACAGATGACTTTAGAGGTCATGTTGCAGCAGCAGTTGGTTTTGGTGTGCCTGAGTGTGTGCTGCACACAATGTGCGCGCAACTCACAGGAATTCCAGCTGAACGAGTCCAGCCAAGGCAACAGGAATGCCGCCTGAAAGCTGGTTGCTTGAGAAATTGCTGCGAGAAATGCATGCAGGGAAGAGAAAGTACAGGTGCGAGTGAGAGGAACGAAAAGTCGAGAACACGAGGGGCGGAGAGATGCACGCGCCAATAAGCTGGTGTGCGTGGGCAAGGCCAGGCAGGGACAGCAAGTGTGGGATAGATGGGGCATGGGCAACGAATTGCAGAGAAATCAAGCGTGGGCAAGGGTGGGCGTGCCAAGGAAAGGAGGAGAAGGGTTGCAACAATTGAGGTGGAGAGCTACTGACAGCCTGGTGAGGGCGAGCATGGCTCCAATCCCCTCGGGAATGGGACCGGACAGCTGGTTGGATCTCAGGTCTCTGGAAGAACAGCAGAGACAGTGGAGGAGGGTGAAGAGTGGAGAAGACGGATGTAGCGGCGAATATGGTCTATTTGCATCAGTAGGGAAGAGTCACGGCAGCAGCAGTGGCAGATTTGCAGTGGCAGAGCAACATTGGTGCCATGGCACCTACAGGGCATACATCAGCTTCAGTGAGGCAATGGAGGAAGGGATGGAGCCCGTGAGCTTGTTGGAACTAAGGCCCCTGCAGCATGGGAGGGCGGGGAAGGGATGACAAGAGGAGAAGGTTCAGTTTGGACTCATTTCCTTGTTATACCACAAGAAAAAAGTTGTGCTGCTTTCTTTTGAGGAAAAGGGTGCCCGACGAGCACTCTGACTTCTCTCAATCAGCACCATCTCCTGTTGTGGGGGACCTTTGCTCCTACCCCACTATGAGCCACAGATGTTGGAAGGGCTACAGGTTCGGTCGTGGGGGATTGGTGTTTCCAAAATGGTGGAACCAACCCAAATGGGGGATTTGCTGTGTTGTCAAAAGGAGCAGGAATATTTGTAGCGTACAGGTTTGTGATACCATGGAGGGAGCCAATGGAGGCAGGGATGGGCCCAGAGAGCTGATTGTTATCAAGCGATCTGGTGGTTGCAGGATTTTGCAAATCCAGAATTGGGTGGAACAGCCAAGCCATTGTTGACTCGGGGTGCAAATGGGTGATGACACGTGAGGGAAAAGACGGCAAGGAACTGATGAGAGAAGAAACGAGAAACTAGGTAACTTGGGATGGTTGTGCTGGACAGATATGTTGTGCTGAGCAATGGATAGCCACAAGGTAGGGATGCGATGTCTTACAGATCTACCAATTACGTGAGCGCATCAATGCCAGCAGGTATGGGGCCGGTGAGCTGATTGTTATTCAGCAGCCTGAGGGAGAATGGGAAAGGAAAAACCGAATTCTAAGGCTGCTAAAGGTCTGCAATGCTGGCTGGAACGGCTCCAAAAGAAAGGAACGGTGCCATGGCATGAAACCCCTTCTTGGGCTGCCAATTGGGACCAACTATTGACTTTAGAGGTCATGTTGTAGCAGCAGTTGGTTTTGGTGTGCTTGAGTGTGTCCGGCAATGAAGGCACTCGTGTGACGAATATTGCATGCATGCACCACAATGTGCGTGCAACTCACAGGAACTGCAGCTGAACGAGTCCAGCCAAAACAGAAGGAATGCCACCTGAAAGCTGGTTGTTTGAGAGATTGCTGAAAAGAAAGTGTGCAGGGCACAGGGAGTGCAGGTGCGAGTGAGAGGAACGAAGAGAGGAGCACATAATAAGTGGATGTTTTCATCGCTCACAACAAGCACAGAAGGAAGATATGGAGCAAAACCTGGGAGCCAAGAGGGAACATGACTGTTTCCGATGCTCGCCGCGACGCCGCCTCTCTCAATACTCGCGGCGCTACAGCCTTCTTGTGCTAGCGGATCAGCGAACGACGCCCGACAAACGCTCGACTTGCCGTCGCCAATAGGAAGCGGCTTCAGATTATATGGATGATGGCCATCACTATTTATGCTATTACTGAGTCAGCTCATCCGGAATTTAGGGATTGGGCAAAAGTGACGTTCGATTTTAATTAGACTCACCGAATCTGCCGTTTCTGTCTATATCGTCTACTGTCAACTGCGCATTCGTGCTTCGCGACGGTGCGGCGGCGTCGCACAGGTTGGGTTGCGTGATGGAGGAGGAACGAAGGATGGGACAGCGGGGGGAAGAGGTGAGAGTGATGTCCCATTTTTAAAACCAGGGTGCACATTCATAATGGGTGTACTCCCATCGGAAAGAAATTGGTGTTCGGCGAAAAAAGTTTGGCAGGAACGAAAATACACTAGGAAGAATGGATGTGGCGAGAAATACGAAAGTGGGCGAATTGTGGCTCACTGAATTAAATCTGCGCCTGCCTGCAGCTAGGGGCTGCGGAACGACCTTCCATTTCCGCCACCCTCCCAGACACCATAGTGATGAGTGAAGAAAACGTCTCGCACTGTCTCGCCACACCAACCAACCGCCAATACACATCAGGAACCAGGCGCCGGAGAATGTGAATAGGCAAGCAACGCGCATTTCTTCTAATGACGCGAAGGGATTATGTTTAGGGTTATAAGAGATAGGGTTAGGCGAAATGTGTGGAATCGCAGCGAGTGTGTTTAGATATATAGAACCATCGTGGCAGGACACCAATGGGGAGGGAACCGGGCAGCACAACAAGGATTTCGTCAGTGGAGAGCCCCCCAAATGACATATGATTATGGGGCGTGGAGGTGCGGAGGCGGCATGTTGCATTATCGCCATAGAACAGCGCGAAAAGTAGGGTAGAAAGGCATAAAACTCGCAAACCGAAGAATAGGGTAACGGTAGGAAGGCGACGCGTGACTCATCGCCCGCACCCGCACCGTGACTACTGTCCACGCGACAAGAAGACATTCGCGCGGTCGACTTTGAAAAATAAAAAGGTGGCCATCTATGTAACCATTTCCACACGCAGCCCTTACTTGCATTCTCCACGCCCCTCACTCTCATTGTATTACCCAACACCGGCACTTACTTTCCCCCACCCAGCTATTCAGTTTCCCCCATGCAGCTGTTTACTACCCCCCAGCAGGCTATTTACTTCCCTCCATCCAGCTACCTACTTCCCCCCATCCAGCGTCTACCATCCCCCCACCCAGCTATGACCTTCCCCCCCATCCTGCTAATTACTTCTCCCCACCCAGCTTCTAACATCCCCCCATCCAACTACTAACTTTCCCCCCCAAGTAGCTACTTACTTCCCTTTCCCCCACCGCGCTACCTTCTTTCCCGGTCATTGGGCTACTTACCTCCCCCCACACAGCTACTCACTTCCCCCCACCCAGCTACTTACTTCCCCCCACCCAGCTACTCACTTCCCCCCACACAGCTACTCACTTCCCCCCACACAGCTACTCACTTCCCCCCACCCAGCTACTCACTTCCCCCCACCCAGCTACTTACTTCCCCCCACACAGCTACTCACTTCCCCCCACCCAGCTACTCACTTCCCCCCACACAGCTACTCACTTCCCCCCACCCAGCTACTCACTTCCCCCCACACAGCTACTCACTTCCCCCCACACAGCTACTCACTTCCCCCCACCCAGCTACTCACTTCCCCCCACACAGCTACTCACTTCCCCCCACCAAGCTACTCACTTCCCCCCACACAGCTACTCACTTCCCCCCACCCAGCTACTCACTTCCCCCCACACAGCTACTCACTTCCCCCCACCCAGCTACTCACTTCCCCCCACCCAGCTACTTACTTCCCCCCACCTAGCTACTCACTTCCCCCCACACAGCTACTCACTTCCCCCCACACAGCTACTCACTTCCCCCCACACAGCTACTCACTTCCCCCCACCCAGCTACTCACTTCCCCCCACCCAGCTACTCACTTCCCCCCACACAGCTACTCACTTCCCCCCACACAGCTACTCACTTCCCCCCACCCAGCTACTCACTTCCCCCCACACAGCTACTCACTTCCCCCCACACAGCTACTCACTTCCCCCCACCCAGCTACTCACTTCCCCCCACCCAGCTACTCACTTCCCCCCACCCAGCTACTCACTTCCCCCCACCCAGCTACTCACTTCCCCCCACACAGCTACTCACTTCCCCCCACCCAGCTACTCACTTCCCCCCACCCAGCTACTCACTTCCCCCCACACAGCTACTCACTTCCCCCCACACAGCTACTCACTTCCCCCCACCCAGCTACTCACTTCCCCCCACACAGCTACTCACTTCCCCCCACCCAGCTACTCACTTCCCCCCACCCAGCTACTCACTTCCCCCCACCCAGCTACTTACTTCCCCCCACCTAGCTACTCACTTTACCCCACCCAGCTACTCACTTCCCCCCACCCAGCTACTTACTTCCCCCCACCTAGCTACTCACTTCCCCCCACACAGCTACTCACTTCCCCCCACACAGCTACTCACTTCCCCCCACACAGCTACTCACTTCCCCCCACCCAGCTACTCACTTCCCCCCACCCAGCTACTCACTTCCCCCCACACAGCTACTCACTTCCCCCCACACAGCTACTCACTTCCCCCCACCCAGCTACTCACTTCCCCCCACACAGCTACTCACTTCCCCCCACACAGCTACTCACTTCCCCCCACCCAGCTACTCACTTCCCCCCACACAGCTACTCACTTCCCCCCACACAGCTACTCACTTCCCCCCACCCAGCTACTCACTTCCCCCCACCCAGCTACTCACTTCCCCCCACACAGCTACTCACTTCCCCCCACACAGCTACTCACTTCCCCCCACCCAGCTACTCACTTCCCCCCACCCAGCTACTCACTTCCCCCCACACAGCTACTCACTTCCCCCCACACAGCTACTCACTTCCCCCCACCCAGCTACTCACTTCCCCCCACACAGCTACTCACTTCCCCCCACCCAGCTACTCACTTCCCCCCACACAGCTACTCACTTCCCCCCACCCAGCTACTCACTTCCCCCCACCCAGCTACTCACTTCCCCCCACACAGCTACTCACTTCCCCCCACACAGCTACTCACTTCCCCCCACCCAGCTACTCACTTCCCCCCACACAGCTACTCACTTCCCCCCACACAGCTACTCACTTCCCCCCACACAGCTACTCACTTCCCCCCACACAGCTACTCACTTCCCCCCACCCAGCTACTCACTTCCCCCCACCCAGCTACTTACTTCCCCCCACCCAGCTACTCACTTCCCCCCACACAGCTACTCACTTCCCCCCACACAGCTACTTACTTCCCCCCACCCAGCTACTCACTTCCCCCCACACAGCTACTCACTTCCCCCACACAGCTACTCACTTCCCCCCACCCAGCTACTCACTTCCCCCCACCCAGCTACTCACTTCCCCCCACCCAGCTACTTACTTCCCCCCACCTAGCTACTCACTTCCCCCCACACAGCTACTCACTTCCCCCCACACAGCTACTCACTTCCCCCCACACAGCTACTCACTTCCCCCCACCCAGCTACTCACTTCCCCCCACCCAGCTACTCACTTCCCCCCACACAGCTACTCACTTCCCCCCACACAGCTACTCACTTCCCCCCACCCAGCTACTCACTTCCCCCCACACAGCTACTCACTTCCCCCCACACAGCTACTCACTTCCCCCCACACAGCTACTCACTTCCCCCCACCCAGCTACTCACTTCCCCCCACCCAGCTACTCACTTCCCCCCACACAGCTACTCACTTCCCCCCACCCAGCTACTCACTTCCCCCCACCCAGCTACTCACTTCCCCCCACACAGCTACTCACTTCCCCCCACACAGCTACTCACTTCCCCCCACCCAGCTACTCACTTCCCCACACCCAGCTACTCACTTCCCCCCACCCAGCTACTTACTTCCCCCCACCTAGCTACTCACTTCCCCCCACACAGCTACTCACTTCCCCCCACACAGCTACTCACTTCCCCCCACCCAGCTACTCACTTCCCCCCACCCAGCTACTCACTCCCCCCCACCCAGCTACTTACTTCCCCCCACCTAGCTACTCACTTCCCCCCACCCAGCTACTCACTTCCCCCCACCCAGCTACTTACTTCCCCCCACCTAGCTACTCACTTCCCCCCACACAGCTACTCACTTCCCCCCACACAGCTACTCACTTCCCCCCACACAGCTACTCACTTCCCCCCACCCAGCTACTCACTTCCCCCCACCCAGCTACTCACTTCCCCCCACCCAGCTACTCACTTCCCCCCACCCAGCTACTCACTTCCCCCCACCCAGCTACTTACTTCCCCCCACCTAGCTACTCACTTCCCCCCACACAGCTACTCACTTCCCCCCACACAGCTACTCACTTCCCCCCACACAGCTACTCACTTCCCCCCACCCAGCTACTCACTTCCCCCCACCCAGCTACTCACTTCCCCCCACACAGCTACTCACTTCCCCCCACCCAGCTACTCACTTCCCCCCACCCAGCTACTCACTTCCCCCCACACAGCTACTCACTTCCCCCCACACAGCTACTCACTTCCCCCCAAACAGCTACTCACTTCCCCCCACACAGCTACTCACTTCCCCCCACCCAGCTACTCACTTCCCCCCACCCAGCTACTCACTTCCCCCCACACAGCTACTCACTTCCCCCCACCCAGCTACTCACTTCCCCCCACCCAGCTACTCACTTCCCCCCACCCAGCTACTTACTTCCCCCCACCTAGCTACTCACTTCCCCCCACCCAGCTACTCACTTCCCCCCACACAGCTACTCACTTCCCCCCACCCAGCTACTCACTTCCCCCCACCCAGCTACTCACTTCCCCCCACCCAGCTACTCACTTCCCCCCACCCAGCTACTCACTTCCCCCCACACAGCTACTCACTTCCCCCCACACAGCTACTCACTTCCCCCCACCCAGCTACTCACTTCTCCCCACCCAGCTACTCACTTTCCCCCACCCAGCTACTTACTTCCCCCCACCTAGCTACTCACTTCCCCCCACACAGCTACTCACTTCCCCCCACACAGCTACTCACTTCCCCCCACACAGCTACTCACTTCCCCCCACCCAGCTACTCACTTCTCCCCACCCAGCTACTCACTTTCCCCCACCCAGCTACTTACTTCCCCCCACCTAGCTACTCACTTCCCCCCACACAGCTACTCACTTCCCCCCACCCAGCTACTCACTTCCCCCCACCCAGCTACTCACTTCCCCCCACCCAGCTACTCACTTCCCCCCACCAAGCTACTCACTTCCCCCCACACAGCTACTCACTTCCCCCCACACAGCTACTCACTTCCCCCCACACAGCTACTCACTTCCCCCCACCCAGCTACTCACTTCCCCCCACCCAGCTACTCACTTCCCCCCACCAAGCTACTCACTTCCCCCCACACAGCTACTCACTTCCCCCCACACAGCTACTCACTTCCCCCCACCCAGCTACTCACTTCCCCCCACACAGCTACTCACTTCCCCCCACCAAGCTACTCACTTCCCCCCACACAGCTACTCACTTCCCCCCACACAGCTACTCACTTCCCCCCACACAGCTACTCACTTCCCCCCACACAGCTACTCACTTCCCCCCACCCAGCTACTCACTTTCCCCCACCCAGCTACTTACTTCCCCCCACCTAGCTACTCACTTCCCCCCACACAGCTACTCACTTCCCCCCACACAGCTACTCACTTCCCCCCACCCAGCTACTCACTTCCCCCCACCCAGCTACTCACTTCCCCCCACCCAGCTACTCACTTCCCCCCACACAGCTACTCACTTCCCCCCACACAGCTACTGACTTCCCCCCACACAGCTACTCACTTCCCCCCACACAGCTACTCACTTCCCCCCACCCAGCTACTCACTTCCCCCCACCCAGCTACTCACTTCCCCCCACCCAGCTACTTACTTCCCCCCACCTAGCTACTCACTTCCCCCCACACAGCTACTCACTTCCCCCCACACAGCTACTCACTTCCCCCCACACAGCTACTCACTTCCCCCCACCCAGCTACTCACTTCCCCCACCCAGCTACTCACTTCCCCCCACACAGCTACTCACTTCCCCCCACACAGCTACTCACTTCCCCCCACCCAGCTACTCACTTCCCCCCACCCAGCTACTTACTTCCCCCCACCTAGCTACTCACTTCCCCCCACACAGCTACTCACTTCCCCCCACACAGCTACTCACTTCCCCCCACACAGCTACTCACTTCCCCCCACCCAGCTACTCACTTCCCCCCACCCAGCTACTCACTTCCCCCCACCCAGCTACTTACTTCCCCCCACCTAGCTACTCACTTCCCCCCACACAGCTACTCACTTCCCCCCACACAGCTACTCACTTCCCCCCACACAGCTACTCACTTCCCCCCACCCAGCTACTCACTTCCCCCCACCCAGCTACTCACTTCCCCCCACACAGCTACTCACTTCCCCCCACCCAGCTACTCACTTCCCCCCACCCAGCTACTCACTTCCCCCCACACAGCTACTCACTTCCCCCCAAACAGCTACTCACTTCCCCCCACACAGCTACTCACTTCCCCCCACCCAGCTACTCACTTCCCCCCACACAGCTACTCACTTCCCCCCACCCAGCTACTCACTTCCCCCCACCCAGCTACTCACTTCCCCCCACCCAGCTACTCACTTCCCCCCACCCAGCTACTCACTTCCCCCCACCCAGCTACTTACTTCCCCCCACCCAGCTACTCACTTCCCCCCACACAGCTACTCACTTCCCCCCACCCAGCTACTCACTTCCCCCCACACAGCTACTCACTTCCCCCCACCAAGCTACTCACTTCCCCCCACACAGCTACTCACTTCCCCCCACACAGCTACTCACTTCCCCCCACACAGCTACTCACTTCCCCCCACACAGCTACTCACTTCCCCCCACCCAGCTACTCACTTCTCCCCACCCAGCTACTCACTTTCCCCCACCCAGCTACTTACTTCCCCCCACCTAGCTACTCACTTCCCCCCACACAGCTACTCACTTCCCCCCACACAGCTACTCACTTCCCCCCACCCAGCTACTCACTTCCCCCCACCCAGCTACTCACTTCCCCCCACACAGCTACTCACTTCCCCCCACACAGCTACTCACTTCCCCCCACCCAGCTACTCACTTCCCCCCACCCAGCTACTCACTTCCCCCCACCAAGCTACTCACTTCCCCCCACACAGCTACTCACTTCCCCCCACACAGCTACTCACTTCCCCCCACACAGCTACTCACTTCCCCCCACCAAGCTACTCACTTCCCCCCACACAGCTACTCACTTCCCCCCACACAGCTACTCACTTCCCCCCACACAGCTACTTACTTCCCCCCACACAGCTACTCACTTCCCCCCACACAGCTACTCACTTCCCCCCACACAGCTACTCACTTCCCCCCACACAGCTACTCACTTCCCCCCACCCAGCTACTCACTTCCCCCCACACAGCTACTCACTTCCCCCCACACAGCTACTCACTTCCCCCCACACAGCTACTCACTTCCCCCCACACAGCTACTCACTTCCCCCCACCCAGCTACTCACTTTCCCCCACACAGCTACTCACTTCCCCCCACCCAGCTACTTACTTCCCCCCACCTAGCTACTCACTTCCCCCCACACAGCTACTCACTTCCCCCCACACAGCTACTCACTTCCCCCCACCCAGCTACTCACTTCCCCCCACCCAGCTACTCACTTCCCCCCACCCAGCTACTCACTTCCCCCCACCTAGCTACTCACTTCCCCCCACACAGCTACTCACTTCCCCCCACACAGCTACTCACTTCCCCCCACACAGCTACTCACTTCCCCCCACCCAGCTACTCACTTCCCCCCACACAGCTACTCACTTCCCCCCACACAGCTACTCACTTGCCCCCACACAGCTACTCACTTCCCCCCACACAGCTACTCACTTCCCCCCACACAGCTACTCACTTCCCCCCACCCAGCTACTTACTTCCCCCCACCTAGCTACTCACTTCCCCCCACACAGCTACTCACTTCCCCCCACACAGCTACTTACTTCCCCCCACCCAGCTACTCACTTCCCCCCACACAGCTACTCACTTCCCCCCAAACAGCTACTCACTTCCCCCCACACAGCTACTCACTTCCCCCCACCCAGCTACTCACTTCCCCCCACCCAGCTACTCACTTCCCCCCACACAGCTACTCACTTCCCCCCACCCAGCTACTCACTTCCCCCCACCCAGCTACTCACTTCCCCCCACCCAGCTACTTACTTCCCCCCACCTAGCTACTCACTTCCCCCCACCCAGCTACTCACTTCCCCCCACCCAGCTACTTACTTCCCCCCACCCAGCTACTCACTTCCCCCCACACAGCTACTCACTTCCCCCCACCCAGCTACTCACTTCCCCCCACACAGCTACTCACTTCCCCCCACCAAGCTACTCACTTCCCCCCACACAGCTACTCACTTCCCCCCACACAGCTACTCACTTCCCCCCACACAGCTACTCACTTCCCCCCACACAGCTACTCACTTCCCCCCACCCAGCTACTCACTTCCCCCCACCCAGCTACTCACTTTCCCCCACCCAGCTACTTACTTCCCCCCACACAGCTACTCACTTCCCCCCACCCAGCTACTCACTTCCCCCCACCCAGCTACTCACTTCCCCCCACCCAGCTACTCACTTCCCCCCACCCAGCTACTCACTTCCCCCCACCAAGCTACTCACTTCCCCCCACACAGCTACTCACTTCCCCCCACACAGCTACTCACTTCCCCCCACACAGCTACTCACTTCCCCCCACCCAGCTACTCACTTCCCCCCACCCAGCTACTTACTTCCCCCCACACAGCTACTCACTTCCCCCCACCCAGCTACTCACTTCCCCCCACACAGCTACTCACTTCCCCCCACACAGCTACTCACTTCCCCCCACACAGCTACTCACTTCCCCCCACACAGCTACTCACTTCCCCCCACACAGCTACTCACTTCCCCCCACACAGCTACTCACTTCCCCCCACACAGCTACTCACTTCCCCCCACACAGCTACTCACTTCCCCCCACACAGCTACTCACTTCCCCCCACCCAGCTACTCACTTTCCCCCACACAGCTACTCACTTCCCCCCACCCAGCTACTTACTTCCCCCCACCTAGCTACTCACTTCCCCCCACACAGCTACTCACTTCCCCCCACCCAGCTACTCACTTCCCCCCACCCAGCTACTCACTTCCCCCCACCCAGCTACTCACTTCCCCCCACCTAGCTACTCACTTCCCCCCACCCAGCTACTCACTTCCCCCCACCCAGCTACTCACTTCCCCCCACCCAGCTACTCACTTCCCCCCACACAGCTACTCACTTCCCCCCACCCAGCTACTCACTTCCCCCCACCCAGCTACTCACTTTCCCCCACACAGCTACTCACTTCCCCCCACCCAGCTACTTACTTCCCCCCACACAGCTACTCACTTTCCCCCACACAGCTACTCACTTCCCCCCACCCAGCTACTCACTTCCCCCCACCCAGCTACTCACTTCCCCCCACCCAGCTACTCACTTCCCCCCACACAGCTACTCACTTCCCCCCACCCAGCTACTCACTTCCCCCCACCCAGCTACTCACTTTCCCCCACACAGCTACTCACTTCCCCCCACACAGCTACTCACTTCCCCCCACACAGCTACTCACTTCCCCCCACCCAGCTACTCACTTCCCCCCACCCAGCTACTCACTTCCCCCCACACAGCTACTCACTTCCCCCCACACAGCTACTCACTTCCCCCCACCCAGCTACTCACTTCCCCCCACACAGCTACTCACTTCCCCCCACACAGCTACTCACTTCCCCCCACACAGCTACTGACTTCCCCCCACACAGCTACTCACTTCCCCCCACCCAGCTACTCACTTCCCCCCACCCAGCTACTTACTTCCCCCCACCTAGCTACTCACTTCTCCCCACACAGCTACTCACTTCCCCCCACACAGCTACTCACTTCCCCCCACCCAGCTACTCACTTCCCCCCACCCAGCTACTCACTTCCCCCCACCCAGCTACTTACTTCCCCCCACCCAGCTACTCACTTCTCCCCACACAGCTACTCACTTCCCCCCACACAGCTACTCACTTCCCCCCACCCAGCTACTCACTTCCCCCCACCCAGCTACTCACTTTCCCCCACACAGCTACTCACTTCCCCCCACACAGCTACTCACTTCCCCCCACACAGCTACTCACTTCCCCCCACCCAGCTACTCACTTCCCCCCACCCAGCTACTCACTTCCCCCCACACAGCTACTCACTTCCCCCCACACAGCTACTCACTTCCCCCCACCCAGCTACTCACTTCCCCCCACACAGCTACTCACTTCCCCCCACACAGCTACTCACTTCCCCCCACACAGCTACTGACTTCCCCCCACACAGCTACTCACTTCCCCCCACCCAGCTACTCACTTCCCCCCACCCAGCTACTTACTTCCCCCCACCTAGCTACTCACTTCTCCCCACACAGCTACTCACTTCCCCCCACACAGCTACTCACTTCCCCCCACCCAGCTACTCACTTCCCCCCACCCAGCTACTCACTTCCCCCCACCCAGCTACTTACTTCCCCCCACCCAGCTACTCACTTCTCCCCACACAGCTACTCACTTCCCCCCACACAGCTACTCACTTCCCCCCACCCAGCTACTCACTTCCCCCCACCAAGCTACTCACTTCCCCCCACACAGCTACTCACTTCCCCCCACACAGCTACTCACTTCCCCCCACACAGCTACTCACTTCCCCCCACACAGCTACTCACTTCCCCCCACACAGCTACTCACTTCCCCTCACCCAGCTACTCACTTCCCCCCACCCAGCTACTTACTTCCCCCCACACAGCTACTCACTTCCCCCCACCCAGCTACTCACTTCCCCCCACACAGCTACTCACTTCCCCCCACACAGCTACTCACTTCCCCCCACCCAGCTACTCACTTCCCCCCACACAGCTACTCACTTCCCCCCACCCAGCTACTCACTTCCCCCCACACAGCTACTCACTTCCCCCCACACAGCTACTCACTTCCCCCCACCCAGCTACTCACTTCCCCCCACACAGCTACTCACTTCCCCCCACACAGCTACTCACTTCCCCCCACACAGCTACTCACTTCCCCCCACACAGCTACTCACTTCCCCCCGCCCAGCTACTCACTTCCCCCCACCCAGCTACTCACTTCCCCCCACCCAGCTACTCACTTCCCCCCACCCAGCTACTCACTTCCCCCCACACAGCTACTCACTTCCCCCCACACAGCTACTCACTTCCCCCCACACAGCTACTCACTTCCCCCCACCCAGCTACTCACTTCCCCCCACACAGCTACTCACTTCCCCCCACACAGCTACTCACTTCCCCCCACCCAGCTACTCACTTCCCCCCACACAGCTACTCACTTCCCCCCACACAGCTACTCACTTCCCCCCACACAGCTACTCACTTCCCCCCACCCAGCTACTCACTTCCCCCCACCCAGCTACTCATTTCCCCCCACACAGCTACTCACTTCCCCCCACACAGCTACTCACTTCCCCCCACACAGCTACTCACTTCCCCCCACACAGCTACTCACTTCCCCCCACCCAGCTACTCACTTCCCCCCACCCAGCTACTCATTTCCCCCCACACAGCTACTCACTTCCCCCCACACAGCTACTCACTTCCCCCCACCCAGCTACTCACTTCCCCCCACACAGCTACTCACTTCCCCCCACCCAGCTACTCACTTCCCCCCACCCAGCTACTCACTTCCCCCCACACAGCTACTCACTTCCCCCCACCCAGCTACTCACTTCCCCCCACACAGCTACTCACTTCCCCCCACCCAGCTACTCACTTCCCCCCACACAGCTACTCACTTCCCCCCACCCAGCTACTCACTTCCCCCCACACAGCTACTCACTTCCCCCCACCCAGCTACTCACTTCCCCCCACCCAGCTACTCACTTCCCCCCACACAGCTACTCACTTCCCCCCACCCAGCTACTCACTTCCCCCCACCCAGCTACTCACTTCCCCCCACACAGCTACTCACTTCCCCCCACACAGCTACTCACTTCCCCCCACCCAGCTACTCACTTCCCCCCACACAGCTACTCACTTCCCCCCACACAGCTACTCACTTCCCCCCACACAGCTACTCACTTCCCCCCACACAGCTACTCACTTCCCCCCACACAGCTACTCACTTCCCCCCACCCAGCTACTCACTTCCCCCCACCCAGCTACTTACTTCCCCCCACCCAGCTACTCACTTCCCCCCACACAGCTACTCACTTCCCCCCACACAGCTACTCACTTCCCCCCACCCAGCTACTCACTTCCCCCCACCCAGCTACTTACTTCCCCCCACCCAGCTACTCACTTCCCCCCACCCAGCTACTCACTTCCCCCCACCCAGCTACTTACTTCCCCCCACCCAGCTACTCACTTCCCCCCACCCAGCTACTCACTTCCCCCCACCCAGCTACTTACTTCCCCCCACCTAGCTACTCACTTCCCCCCACACAGCTACTCACTTCCCCCCACACAGCTACTCACTTCCCCCCACACAGCTACTCACTTCCCCCCACCCAGCTACTCACTTCCCCCCACCCAGCTACTCACTTCCCCCCACACAGCTACTCACTTCCCCCCACCCAGCTACTCACTTCCCCCCACACAGCTACTCACTTCCCCCCACACAGCTACTCACTTCCCCCCACACAGCTACTCACTTCCCCCCACACAGCTACTCACTTCCCCCCACACAGCTACTCACTTCCCCCCACCCAGCTACTCACTTCCCCCCACACAGCTACTCACTTCCCCCCACACAGCTACTCACTTCCCCCCACACAGCTACTCACTTCCCCCCACCCAGCTACTCACTTCCCCCCACACAGCTACTCACTTCCCCCCACCCAGCTACTCACTTCCCCCCACACAGCTACTCACTTCCCCCCACACAGCTACTCACTTCCCCCCACCCAGCTACTCACTTCCCCCCACCCAGCTACTCATTTCCCCCCACACAGCTACTCACTTCCCCCCACACAGCTACTCACTTCCCCCCACACAGCTACTCACTTCCCCCCACCCAGCTACTCACTTCCCCCCACCCAGCTACTCATTTCCCCCCACACAGCTACTCACTTCCCCCCACACAGCTACTCACTTCCCCCCACCCAGCTACTCACTTCCCCCCACACAGCTACTCACTTCCCCCCACCCAGCTACTCACTTCCCCCCACCCAGCTACTCACTTCCCCCCACACAGCTACTCACTTCCCCCCACCCAGCTACTCACTTCCCCCCACACAGCTACTCACTTCCCCCCACACAGCTACTCACTTCCCCCCACCCAGCTACTCACTTCCCCCCACACAGCTACTCACTTCCCCCCACCCAGCTACTCACTTCCCCCCACCCAGCTACTCACTTCCCCCCACACAGCTACTCACTTCCCCCCACACAGCTACTCACTTCCCCCCACCCAGCTACTCACTTCCCCCCACACAGCTACTCACTTCCCCCCACCCAGCTACTCACTTCCCCCCACACAGCTACTCACTTCCCCCCACACAGCTACTCACTTCCCCCCACCCAGCTACTCACTTCCCCCCACCCAGCTACTCACTTCCCCCCACACAGCTACTCACTTCCCCCCACACAGCTACTCACTTCCCCCCACCCAGCTACTCACTTCCCCCCACACAGCTACTCACTTCCCCCCACACAGCTACTCACTTCCCCCCACCCAGCTACTCACTTCCCCCCACCCAGCTACTCATTTCCCCCCACACAGCTACTCACTTCCCCCCACACAGCTACTCACTTCCCCCCACCCAGCTACTCACTTCCCCCCACACAGCTACTCACTTCCCCCCACCCAGCTACTCACTTCCCCCCACCCAGCTACTCACTTCCCCCCACACAGCTACTCACTTCCCCCCACCCAGCTACTCACTTCCCCCCACACAGCTACTCACTTCCCCCCACACAGCTACTCACTTCCCCCCACACAGCTACTCACTTCCCCCCACACAGCTACTCACTTCCCCCCACCCAGCTACTCACTTCCCCCCACACAGCTACTCACTTCCCCCCACACAGCTACTCACTTCCCCCCACACAGCTACTCACTTCCCCCCACCCAGCTACTCACTTCCCCCCACACAGCTACTCACTTCCCCCCACACAGCTACTCACTTCCCCCCACCCAGCTACTCACTTCCCCCCACACAGCTACTCACTTCCCCCCACCCAGCTACTCACTTCCCCCCACCCAGCTACTCACTTCCCCCCACACAGCTACTCACTTCCCCCCACACAGCTACTCACTTCCCCCCACCCAGCTACTCACTTCCCCCCACACAGCTACTCACTTCCCCCCACCCAGCTACTCACTTCCCCCCACACAGCTACTCACTTCCCCCCACACAGCTACTCACTTCCCCCCACCCAGCTACTCACTTCCCCCCACCCAGCTACTCACTTCCCCCCACACAGCTACTCACTTCCCCCCACACAGCTACTCACTTCCCCCCACCCAGCTACTCACTTCCCCCCACACAGCTACTCACTTCCCCCCACACAGCTACTCACTTCCCCCCACCCAGCTACTCACTTCCCCCCACCCAGCTACTCATTTCCCCCCACACAGCTACTCACTTCCCCCCACACAGCTACTCACTTCCCCCCACCCAGCTACTCACTTCCCCCCACACAGCTACTCACTTCCCCCCACCCAGCTACTCACTTCCCCCCACCCAGCTACTCACTTCCCCCCACACAGCTACTCACTTCCCCCCACCCAGCTACTCACTTCCCCCCACACAGCTACTCACTTCCCCCCACACAGCTACTCACTTCCCCCCACACAGCTACTCACTTCCCCCCACACAGCTACTCACTTCCCCCCACCCAGCTACTCACTTCCCCCCACACAGCTACTCACTTCCCCCCACACAGCTACTCACTTCCCCCCACCCAGCTACTCACTTCCCCCCACACAGCTACTCACTTCCCCCCACACAGCTACTCACTTCCCCCCACACAGCTACTCACTTCCCCCCACCCAGCTACTCACTTCCCCCCACCCAGCTACTCATTTCCCCCCACACAGCTACTCACTTCCCCCCACACAGCTACTCACTTCCCCCCACACAGCTACTCACTTCCCCCCACACAGCTACTCACTTCCCCCCACCCAGCTACTCACTTCCCCCCACCCAGCTACTCATTTCCCCCCACACAGCTACTCACTTCCCCCCACACAGCTACTCACTTCCCCCCACCCAGCTACTCACTTCCCCCCACACAGCTACTCACTTCCCCCCACCCAGCTACTCACTTCCCCCCACACAGCTACTTACTTCCCCCCACCCAGCTACTCACTTCCCCCCACCCAGCTACTCACTTCCCCCCACCCAGCTACTTACTTCCCCCCACCCAGCTACTCACTTCCCCCCACCCAGCTACTCGCTTCCCCCCACCCAGCTACTTACTTCCCCCCACCTAGCTACTCACTTCCCCCCACACAGCTACTCACTTCCCCCCACACAGCTACTCACTTCCCCCCACACAGCTACTCACTTCCCCCCACACAGCTACTTACTTCCCCCCACCCAGCTACTCACTTCCCCCCACCCAGCTACTCACTTCCCCCCACCCAGCTACTTACTTCCCCCCACCCAGCTACTCACTTCCCCCCACCCAGCTACTCACTTCCCCCCACCCAGCTACTTACTTCCCCCCACCTAGCTACTCACTTCCCCCCACACAGCTACTCACTTCCCCCCACACAGCTACTCACTTCCCCCCACACAGCTACTCACTTCCCCCCACCCAGCTACTCACTTCCCCCCACCCAGCTACTCACTTCCCCCCACACAGCTACTCACTTCCCCCCACACAGCTACTCACTTCCCCCCACACAGCTACTCACTTCCCCCCACCCAGCTACTCACTTCCCCCCACACAGCTACTCACTTCCCCCCACACAGCTACTCACTTCCCCCCACCCAGCTACTCACTTCCCCCCACACAGCTACTCACTTCCCCCCACACAGCTACTCACTTCCCCCCACACAGCTACTCACTTCCCCCCACCCAGCTACTCACTTCCCCCCACACAGCTACTCACTTCCCCCCACACAGCTACTCACTTCCCCCCACACAGCTACTCACTTCCCCCCACCCAGCTACTCACTTCCCCCCACCCAGCTACTCACTTCCCCCCACCCAGCTACTCATTTCCCCCCACACAGCTACTCACTTCCCCCCACACAGCTACTCACTTCCCCCCACCCAGCTACTCACTTCCCCCCACCCAGCTACTCACTTCCCCCCACACAGCTACTCACTTCCCCCCACCCAGCTACTCACTTCCCCCCACCCAGCTACTCACTTCCCCCCACCCAGCTACTCACTTCCCCCCACCAAGCTACTCACTTCCCCCCACACAGCTACTCACTTCCCCCCACACAGCTACTCACTTCCCCCCACACAGCTACTCACTTCCCCCCACCCAGCTACTCACTTCCCCCCACCCAGCTACTCACTTCCCCCCACACAGCTACTCACTTCCCCCCACCCAGCTACTCACTTCCCCCCACACAGCTACTCACTTCCCCCCACACAGCTACTCACTTCCCCCCACCCAGCTACTCACTTCCCCCCACACAGCTACTCACTTCCCCCCACCCAGCTACTCACTTCCCCCCACCCAGCTACTCACTTCCCCCCACACAGCTACTCACTTCCCCCCACCCAGCTACTCACTTCCCCCCACACAGCTACTCACTTCCCCCCACACAGCTACTCACTTCCCCCCACACAGCTACTCACTTCCCCCCACACAGCTACTCACTTCCCCCCACACAGCTACTCACTTCCCCCCACCCAGCTACTCACTTCCCCCCACCCAGCTACTCATTTCCCCCCACACAGCTACTCACTTCCCCCCACACAGCTACTCACTTCCCCCCACCCAGCTACTCACTTCCCCCCACACAGCTACTCACTTCCCCCCACCCAGCTACTCACTTCCCCCCACCCAGCTACTCACTTCCCCCCACCCAGCTACTCACTTCCCCCCACCCAGCTACTCACTTCCCCCCACACAGCTACTCACTTCCCCCCACCCAGCTACTCACTTCCCCCCACCCAGCTACTCACTTCCCCCCACACAGCTACTCACTTCCCCCCACACAGCTACTCACTTCCCCCCACCCAGCTACTCACTTCCCCCCACACAGCTACTCACTTCCCCCCACACAGCTACTCACTTCCCCCCACACAGCTACTCACTTCCCCCCACACAGCTACTCACTTCCCCCCACCCAGCTACTCACTTCCCCCCACCCAGCTACTCATTTCCCCCCACACAGCTACTCACTTCCCCCCACACAGCTACTCACTTCCCCCCACCCAGCTACGCACTTCCCCCCACACAGCTACTCACTTCCCCCCACACAGCTACTCACTTCCCCCCACCCAGCTACTCACTTCCCCCCACCCAGCTACTCACTTCCCCCCACACAGCTACTCACTTCCCCCCACACAGGTACTCACTTCCCCCCACACAGCTACTCACTTCCCCCCACACAGCTACTCACTTCCCCCCACCCAGCTACTCACTTCCCCCCACCCAGCTACTTACTTCCCCCCACCCAGCTACTCACTTCCCCCCACCCAGCTACTCACTTCCCCCCACACAGCTACTCACTTCCCCCCACCCCACACAGCTACTCACTTCCCCCCACCCAGCTACTCACTTCCCCCCACCCAGCTACTCACTTCCCCTCACCCAGCTACTCACTTCCCCCCACCCAGCTGACATCCGCCCTTGCTCCCCTCTCCTTCCCTCCACCCAGCTACTGGCCATGTCGTCTGATTGTGAGGTGCGGAGTTCTGCCCTTGAAGAGTTGCGTGACATGGCGAACAAATGCGAAGTGAAGAGTCTTGGTATTTCTAGTCACATGCAGCTGCCAATCTGTTTCCTACGGATTGGTTTGTCATGCTTGATGGGAAGGACTGCATCCATTGCCGATCTGGTGTTCTTCTTACTAATGGTGGGGGATGGGGCAATCGAGAAGCTGATGATGGCAGCAACAAGGGCTGGTGAGATGTGACGGAGTTGTGGAACAGTTTGGGGCATGTAGTTGAGATGAACAAGAAAGATTCATTAGTTCCTAATCTTTTGTTCGCGCAGGATCCGATGGGACAACCGCAGGCGAAAGCGTGAAAGTACTTCTAGCGACATTTGGTGCATCTTTCAGATGCAGGGCAGATATTGCATCAGAGGATCTATCAGATCTTACGATGCGGGATCCTTATGGCATTGCAGGTCTACGATACGGCTTTCCTGCATACACCCTGGGTCCCGATGGAGCGTTGTATCGGGATGGCCGGCGGTTTCAATGGGGTGGGGCACGGAAGGGCTCCAACTATGATGCTGGTACGCACGATCGATTCTTTTCCGAAACGCGGCGCAAGTGTGACAAGTGTGAAACCGAGACATGGATTGACATTTTTTTTCCTGGCGAATGTTGTGTCATATCACCCACAATCATGTACTTATTCGAGGCATCCCTAAACTATTATGAAACTACAATTGCCCCCACGATCTAAATTCATGGCAGCTCGACAGGATAGGCCTGTCCATGACGTCACGGCGGGTGTGGAATGGCAAGACGTGGTGATCGGGAGTGATGCGCCAGCGCGCCCAGACCAAGGCACTGTGGCTGTTGAGGTTGTGCATGAGCTGAGCGGACTGCGCGGGCCACCACCTGACTTCCGTCAGGAAACACGTTGCAATGGTGATACAAGCCCGAGGATAGCAAGGTACTTACGTGATGAACAGAATGCGTAGAGCCCGGACCCTTCGCATGTTGATGTCCCAATGGTGCGCATTCATGTACACATTCATACGATTCAATCACTAAGTTTTGTGCACATCTACCCACCCTTCTGCTCCCGTACACCGGCAGAGCATGTGCACCCCTCCCTCCCCACAGCACTGTGGTTGTTGAGGTCGTGCACGAGCTGATCGGACGGCGCGGGCCACACTCGGACCTCCGTCAGGAAACACGTTGCAATGGTGATGCAAGCCCGATTCCAGCAAGGTACGTACGTGTTGAACATCATGTATAGAGCCCGGACCCTTCGCATGCGTAGGGCATTCGGTGCGCATATAGTACACATTTATAATAGTTTGCTCATTAAGTGTTGCACCCATATACACACCCTTCTTCTCCCTTACAACGTCAGAGCATTTGCACCAACGCCCACCAAAACCACACCAATAAAGGGAGACGGTTGGACCATGCTTCCTCTCTTGGACGGTCTTCGCAACATCGTTTGCTTCCTTGACCCCATTCACACGCTACAGTTTTTTATGGTTTTGTCACTTCATTGTACGGGGGTGGTGGGGTGCAATGGTCGTATGAAAGTGAGGTCATGGAAATTGGGGTGGGCTGGACTTGGTTTGAAGTGGGAGTGTGACGTGTGCAGGAAGTCGATGACTTATTGGTCCATAAAACGGCAGCCACCAAACACCGATCCTTCTGTCCCTGGTCGAAAGCGTATGCCTCTGATGCAAAGGTTCATGGCGTCTTTTGCACTTGCTGGCATAGGGTATCAGGTGATGTCAGAGGTGGGTCGAAATGTAGGTGTTTGTGTACCATGTAAGACCACATTCTACAAGTATATGAGAGGGGCCGTTCGCTGTTCCTGTTCGCTATGTACCATAACTTTGATGCATTATGGCTGCCCTTCATTCTTTTACTGGTCAGGTTTTGATTTAGGTGCAAGGGCAAACTCAATGTACTCGAAAAACCCTAAACCCATCACACACAGGTGATTTACTCAAGACGCGATGATGAACGAAGATGGAGTGGGGGCAATGGGTGGGGCAGCAGAGGGTGGGGCAGCAGAGCGTTGGGCAACAGAGTGCATGGCAGAAGGGCACGGTGCAGCATAATAGTGTGGAGCAGCAGATAGTGGGGCAGGAGAGAGTGGGGCAGCAGAGCGTGGGGCAGGAGAGAGTGGGGCAGCAGAGCGTGGGGCAGAGAAGTGTGGGGCAGCAAAGTGTGGGGCAATTGGCCTGTGGGGCTGAAGAGCGTGGGGCAGCAGATGGTGGGGCAGCCAAGGGTCGGGGCAGCAGAGTGGCGGGCACTGGATCAGCATAGCGTGGAGCAGCAGAACGTGGGGCCGTAGAGTGTGGGGCCGCAGATTGGCCGGCAGCAGAGAGTGGGGCCGTAGAGTGTGGGGCCGCAGATTGGCCGGCAGCAGAGAGTGGGGCCGTAGAGTGTGGGGCCGCAGATTGGCCGGCAGCAGAGAGTGGGGCCGTAGAGTGTGGGGCCGCAGATTGGTCGGCAGCAGAGAGTGGGGCCGTAGAGTGTGGGGCAGCAGAGTGTGGGGCTGTATATTGTGGGGCTCTGCTGCCTGTGCTGCGCATAATACGAATCCAGCACCTGCTCTATCACCTCCATGAGCATCTCCGGTTTTCTGTGCATTGCAGCTCGACTGGATTTATGGGACCAGTGGTAGGGTATTCAAAGTGGAGGCGCGGCACGGCGTTGTCTGCTCTATGTCAACGCGGAAACAAGTGCACTAGTAAACGCGCCTCTATGTGTATCTTATGTGCCATAACGCAATGGATCACACCGTGGTGTTGTGCTTCTGACATGGTGCCAAGGGTAATTCTGTAATACCTATAACCCCCATAGTACCGTACAACCCCCAGGACTTACTATCAA